AGAGGGTTGGTCTAGTTGATGTAGTTGCCTCATGATAAGATACTTTGAATGCAAGCTCCTGAACGACGTTTCAATGACTTAGTCGACGTGTATTTAGTCAATCGACTTCACTAGTTTTAATCAATCAAGCAAGATCAGTAAATTTATGGGATATATTACTGTGTAATAATGCTATTATAACTGTGACAGGAGCTTGATTAATGACTTGGTTTTTAATTATAATAACTCCAATTGTCATAACAACTTACTGAATATTAGCAAAAATTACATAAAATTTTACTTGCAGAATTTACGCGAATTACGTAAAATTATGATAATTTTACAACACCAATTATAAAGTTTGGACAATTGTATCGTATGACATTTTAGTACCATTCTTCTTAATAGACTAAACGAACGATGTTAAATCTAATCATTTACGTACGAGTTTAATCGTACAAATTGTGTACTTGCATTATGATTTTATAATATTACAGTAACAATTACGTATTTATGGTAAATTTCATAACCATTCATGTGCTTATCAAACAATAAATCATGGAATAATCTTATGTAATATCTATGTAATATCGATGTAGATAACTTAATAAAATAGGAATCAATGCAATAATTCACTTGATCAAAACAAAAAACAATCGTTGTTTTAAATATTTTCGTTAGGATATATATATTACCAATTATTGACACCCATTCACTTTTTGTCTTATTTGATGATGAATTTTTATACCATCATTTACTTGTTTATCATCATCATTTCATTCACCGTCGGTCATCCACTCGTAAACAGAATTCAATCGGACTCTTCGGATTCTCGAATCACCTCAACCACGGAACAACACAAGATTATTTGCTTGACTTACAAATCATCTCAAATGAATCCTAGGGAAATGAATATGGGTGCAAGTGCAGACTGTAGATCAATATGCAAAAAACAATGCAAAGGATTAAAGGGACGTGAATGGGACAATTGTTACAATGGTTGTATGATTAATTGTCGTTAATATATTTCTGAGAAGTGAATGTTTTTCGTGAGATAAAAGAATAGTAACGAATGTTAAAATAACAATTTGTTGGCGAAGCTAAACATGAAAGATGTGCAATTTATATAAGAACTAGTCATACTAAAATTAGACTTTTATTAAGTGCTTATTTAATAATTGTGCTGAGATTAACATGGGTAAATTGAATGGTAAAAATAAGGAATCATCGTTTCCACGCATTTCCTTGCAAAACTAAAAATAATGATAAATTTCAAATTTTAACTAAACCTTTTAATAAATATATATTTTATATTTTAAAATAAATAACTGGTTAAAACATTGCTATTTTATATGTTATATGTCGTTTTGAAATCATGATTTATCGTGTTTGGTAACAGACATATCATCTGACCTTGAGACCATAAAATTTTGGATCTTAATTATAGGTTTGAAATTCAAATTTTCCAGGTCTTTGAGTCTATTTCAAAGTATTTCAATATGCGGAAAAGAATTTTTTTTTTGAGATCTTGGGCTTGAAATTATAATTTCGTTTAACGTTCCTTTCGAAATCTCAAAAACGTAATGGGCGTTCTGATTGGTTTGTTTATAGCGCTTTGCAATAAAGTGTGACATCTGCAGATCACGATGTCATGCGAAATTGCAAAAAAATCAGCGATTTTAGCAGATTTTTCGATTCTCCGACAATTTTAAAGATTTTAAACAATATATACAATTGTTTATTGAAATATATAATTAATATAAAATCTAAATCTCCGAAATTTCCAACTACATCATCACAAAAATCACAGTGTCACACTTTATTGCAAAGCGCTATAATTTCATGGGGAAACTCTTGGAGGAGAACGTTAAACGAAATTGTAACTTCAAACGACCTAAAAGACATTTCAAGCGATTTAGATGATATTCAAACTATAAGATATATTCATACAGCTGTTGATATTTACAACTTTGGAATCATCATGTTAGAGATGTCAACAGACAAAAACCTTCTTGATGGTCGTAAATTTGGAGATTAGCTTGCAGTGAAGATTCGCTTTGGATTGTGGCCCGAGTTTGCTCCTGGAACTTTGATGTAAAAGTTATAGTAGAGTTGTATTTTCGCCTGTAAAGGGAACTAATTTCATGGTTAATAATAATTAGAATACGGAATCAGGTAGCCCGTATGATTTAGAATTTTTGAGGGCTGTAAAAATAGTGTTCTACAATTGGAGCATATAAGCCAAATCAGTATGTGCCTGCTGCCAGTAGCAGGTCTTTAAAGTCAGGCCTACGAGCCGGCCTGAGCGCGATTCACCTGATTTTTAAAGACCTACTACTGGAATTAGACACATGGAAGATACAAATAAAGTCTGTCTGTCGAAAGTGAGTTTATCGCGTAATTACACATACTGATTTTGGCTTATGCTTCAATTGTGGAACGCTTTTTTATAGCCCTCAAAATTCCAAAATTATACGAGCTACCCAATTCCGTACCCTAAATAATAATAAAATTAATATTAAAATTCCTTCTACAATAAGTTCTTAAATATAAGTCACACCTTTGGGGAGTTGCCTTGCATAAAATTCATTCATTGTTTAACAAAAGTATGGTGCTCTTTAATTTTACCCTGTAATAGAATTCATTCATCTATCAGCTATAGGGTCTTTTGGAATCTTTATTTTATTGTAGCCAAGAGTCATTACTATCTCGAAAAGTGATACTGAACAATTCATCCTCTCAGTCATTAGGAATTTCGACTTTCCACAGTTTAAATTGGTTTGCATCAATGCTAGTAATTCACTTTGCCTTTTCGTCTTAATAACTTCTTTTAAGACTACCAATCAACTTATGCCCACCAATATGAACGGTAAATGCGGGTTTAAGTGGATTTCCTTTCACAAGGCAATTAAATGGGATTGTGAAAGTGGTAGATTGTCTATTGCAAGATAGTAAAAATGTTGGTAGCGATATTTTAATCAGAATACACAAGCAGTCTTCTTCATAATAAAAAAAGGAACGTAACCAATTTCTCTTATGAAATTAGTTGAAGAAAACTTAAGTCACTTTAACTAAATAGATAAACACAAAAAGCATTGGCAGACCGATCAAGGGTATTTAATCGTTCTATCAACATAAAAGTGGTATGAACAAATAGCTTAGATGGTTGATCCATCTAATGGACTGAACTAATAACTTGGGTAATTTATCTATGAATTAGAAGCAACATTTATTTATGTGACGCAAAATAATTAATACTAGTCATCTCATCGTCTTATCTATTATACAATCTAAATCGGGAATTTGTTTATTATCCTTTACTCTGTATTTTGAGGTAGTACAAGATTGTGATTCCCAAAAGGTGAGCGAAGAAATAAAAAGATAGAGAGTCCGTGAGCTAAAAAGAATAAACAAACCCATTTAGTCTTCTTATGATACCATGTACTCTTAGATTAATAAGAGTAAGGGATAATATTTTAATTAATTGCCAACATTTGATCTTAAAGCTAGTTATGTATAGTTAGCATTATAGATATACATAGAGAATTTACTACGTACGTACAAGAAATTATTAGCTCTTAAGAGTATAATTATTATACACTTGCTACTATTTTATAGCAGTTACATTAAATTTCAATGTTTATTTTCATATCAGTTCTTGAATACGAAACCATAATAATATAATCGTTCAAAGAAAAAATAAATAAAGATTTCCAGCATTTCAACCAAGGACCTTACAATGCCTGAGTCCTTAGCAGAAAGCTCACCCTAGCCAGTCTCGAACGTATGACCTATACTGTCTGGTAATACGCCTTATATTGTTAATCCATACTGGAATAATTACTAAATTTCAAATTTGTACCCTTTTTGATTTTAATTTCATATTAAAATGTTATTTTTATTATTTAACTATATATACATATAATATACTATGTCTCATAACTTGATTTTCAAAGCAAAGACCCCATATATTGATTTTTTACCATGCGTAATTTTCTTAAATATATTGAAAGTAAATAAGATTTTAAAATACAGTAAACTTGTTCTGTAGCGAACTAAAGATTTTGGAAGAAAAAAAAAAGATCATTATAGAAAATTAATATATTTTCTTAAGAACCCATGTCACTTTTTATTCGGAACATTATGAAATTCCAAAATTTGAGTTCTTTACATCCAGAGTTCTTTATAGAAATGTTCGTTATATCCAGAGTCGATTGTACAATCCAATAATAACTAGGAGCAACTACTGTATTCTATATCAATTGGTTTTTATTAATGGTGCCCTTATACTATATTGATCCCAATAATTGTCAAAATGTTATTACCTTTTATGGCTCGATATGCTATTTCTCGATTGATCTTAGTGTACAGATTAGTTAATTTGGCGGATTAATGTAATTTGATAGATACGAGGTCCAATTGTTACAATATTGGTATTGATATCTAAATAAAGGTCATATGCGTAAATATAATTTGGGATTTTGGAATAGATCACGTGAAAATTGAAACATTTCGCGTGATTCATTATAGATTTTTAGGCGGAATATTTATATAATTTATTATATCATTCTAATCCATTCGAATCCTAACTTTGTAGTGAATATATTGTATGTAAGATTGTAACGCTTAGAATATTATATCATCAAAGTCCTGAAGCACAATCTATATCTGTATTATTAAGACGCCTTTGAAAAGAAATTAATTGGATTAAAGTGGGTTGCGTTTTAATATCTTTTAAATATAGTATGCATAACTACTGAACTACAATGGTTATTTGATTGCATATCTTTTCACATGAAGTTTAAAATAGAGAAGGATCACTATTTTAAATGTGCTATCTTGGTAATCTATTTTTTGACATCATTTTCAATGATTTTTGAGATGCATTAGTGACCAAAGAGAAAAGCATAATACAATGTAACGATGGTATCAATAATCAACGATCAATACCACTTTTCAAATTATAAAAAAAAAAAAAAGAATTTCAAGTTCTTTCAAAAAAAAAAAAAGGATATTACACCATGACCATGTCGCAACCAAATTTATGTTTTGCCAATATTTTGGTTTATCTAATTTTGTTATTAGTAACCATTCACAATGTTTCTTCATTTGTCTATTACCAACCGATCAAAAAATCCCTAATTTTTTCTCAAAATGGAATAATTAATAAACGCCAAACGGTCGTTCCATTGCCAAACGCGGCAGAACCTATACAGGGACCGATCCTTTTCAATACACAAGAAGAACTTATAGCTACAGTTGATGCAACAGAAAGTCATTCATCGCAAATTGAAGCTATTGATGAAGAAGCTTTAGCAACAAACCTCGACAATGAAGAATACGATATATTTGCCGTTTCTTGAAAAATTTTTGTAAAAAAATAAAATAAAATAAATAGAAATTCATATGTAGAAAAATGGTATATTGCATTTAACTTTCACTTCCAATCTAAATATCAAATGTAACCTTAATGCGTATAAATTATGTAAGTGATGTATTATTTAATATATGTTTTATCACATTTTTAGTCCATTAAATATTAATACTTTAAAAGTGCAAGAAAAATAATCAATTAAAATCTACATTTAAGAATCTACATTTAAGAATCTACATCTAAGAATCTACATTTTAGAATCTACATTTAAGGAAATCTTTATGGTAGTTGCACATTGAGACCGTATGCTCAGAGTTGATGTATTTACAATCTTTGTTATAATTACATGAACACAGCTACACTCTTGTAATTATATTTCACGACTCAATTAACCTGATTATCGCTTTTTATTATGATAAACAACTACTATAAACAATCAAGGACAAGTATTAATTTTTTTTGATACTGGAGGAATTTAAACAAGACGTAACAATAATATAAACAATTTAAGTTAAATTCAAAAATCGAATGATTTCAAAGTTAAATTCACAAATTAGATGATTTCAAAAGGACCGTAACAAAAAAATTACCCATTTACTGGAATAAAATTTAGCTCATTGTCCAGGACTTGGGTAGGTAGTGAATATATTTAGATTAAACAATCCACACAAATATTTAATAAATTTAATAGATTAAATAATCGCCTCATACGTAATCATACGAATTTAATTTAACTGTTAATTAACTATGTATAGAATAATAATAACTATATATATAATAATAATAATAACTACTTATATGTATAATAATAATAATAATAACCATATATATAATATATAATAATAATAACTACATATATATATAATAATAAATAATAATAATAATAATAATAACTATATATATATTAATTAACACCATAATTATGAGATGATACGTATAATGCTACGTAACGCTATAGAGATAGCGCATTCACAAAATACTATCATATAACTTACCAATTATGAGTTATCGCTATTTGTTCATGGGAAACAATCCTGGAAATGATACAAAAGAATATTTACAATTACTATAGTATACATTATATACTATATATTATTATCAGAATTACACTAATAACGATTACAACCTCGTGTATAACTGGCTACATAATTCTGTAACGTATGCCAATTGAGAATTACATTTTTTTGGAATGTTTTCGTGGCTTCCTTTTATCAAATGTATCATAAGCCATTAGAAAGAATCTTTGAACGTAGATCGCTGCACAAGATTAAAAAAAAAAGATGATGCATTCCATAAAGCGTCCTTAATAACATTTGTTGGATTCGTTTTGAAAATTTGTAATGTTCATTATTATTTTAATATCCTTAAACGGATTTAGTGAAACGACGAAGCTCCATTATACGACCAATGGGTGAATGGATAGTACAAACAATCTTGTCGATCCCCTTACGCAATTTGGTGTACAATGTTATAATAATAATAATAAAAAAAAGTGCATTTTTTTCCCTGGTCCTACGTTAAACATGGAATAACTTGTAAGAATATACTTTTATTTTTTTTGCATATTCGAATAGAATTAATTTGTCCAATAAAGGATAAGATTAATTCATCAATGCGCCACAATGTATCGGCGTATCGATTCCGAGTAAAACCATCGAAAGTTAACAATGTTTTACCGAATAAAGAACACAAGGGCTTGATTACGATGGCGCATTTCATTGAGGCGAGGATGATTATGTGAAATGCTGTGTCCTTTAGTCATTTTTAGTTATAATTTGTATAGGTAATATTGACAAGAAAGAACTTCGCTGCATTATCATTGATGCCTTCAATGATTATTATAAAAAAAAAAATGCAGGAAATGAAAATAGCAAAGTATGGTATGTTATAATAATTGATGTGATTTAATCAATTTAGATTGGCTTTGTATAAATTAAATGGACTTTGGCCTTTTTTGTTAAAGATGAATAATTTAAATCAAATGAGGCGGTTTCCAATGGCACATGATTGTAATCATGATACCACGAACATACAATATAGATATCGCTATGCAGTCAGACCTCTCTAAGTGCACGCCTTTGGGACCACACTTTAACAATGCGCGCTTTGAGAATAATATATTCATAGAGGTCAAGTATATATTTGAGCAGGTCTGACTGTACGTAGTTAACATCAAAATTAAATAAATTCAGATATAGAAATACGTAGATGACTTATTATGTTAGAAATATTTATTAAACTTGTAAATATCGAATCAGATTTTGCCAAATATAACATTAACAAAAATTCTTTTGCCTTAAATTGTAAAGACCTTATTAAAATAAAATTGTAAAATATATAGAAAGAAAGTCACTGAATGAATCTTGTTATTTAACTATACTATTTAAATGTAAATAAACAAGATTAATAATTTCTGTGACAATGAATAACTCTTTATTTCTTAAGTTTTTTTGTGAAAGGTTTGCCCACTTAAAATTTAGGTGTTTGTTATTAACGCGGCATTGTATTGAAAGCACCCTCATCTGGGTGACAAATATCCGTTGTCATATTATTCGAAAGAAGAAATTGTTGAATAACAAATTGATTAATGAAACTATTTTGTTCGATATTCGCTGAAGTTTGCTGACCAAAAGAATCAGCAGTTGACGTTGTTGCTTGTAAATTCGGACTATCGACATTTAAATTATTGTTGTTAACTGTCATCAGTCCCAAATGATAATTTGGTGAAGGTGATGATTTATATTGTGTATTTTCACTGGCGACAAATTTATGTGTTTCATAACCTTTAGGTGTTGGATATATCACTGATATTCCTGGAAAATTTCCTGTTTGCTTCGATGTTGTGCCTTTGGCGTTTTTTCGTTGTTTTTTTGAGTCTTTATTGGCTTGTTTTTCGAATTTTCTTTTTCTTTCGTCAAATGTATCTTCTGTCTTATAACATGTTGTTTCTTTCGGTTGTTTTTCTGCTTCTGTTTGTTTTTCTGCCTGAAAATAATCACAATCCAAATGCACTGAATCATTTTCGCTTTTCGAAACCTCTGAAATTGCAGTTAAATCGTTAAAATTAAAAGTGAAACTTTCAGGGAATTCAATTTGAGGCGACATTGATTCGGAAGAAAAATCTTCATTTGAGTCGTAACGAAGTAAACTCGACGTTGGTGATTCAATACAAATTTTATCTTCAAAGAATTCTTGGTTTTCTGGATCCTTTTTTAATTCTTCAATGAGCATTTTTCTCAACTCAATAACTTGTTCGTCTGTCGTCGATGGATTAATCATTTTGAAAAAAACGTTTTTTATTTGTTTAATCAAGGTGATTTCTTCAATCAAATTTTGCAATTCTTCTTCAATTATTTCCATTCTGCTTATAAGTTGCTGAATGTTTTGAATATTGGCTCTCGGCTTTCGACGAACGTTTGAATATTTACACTCCCTTTTTCGATCAGTGCAATTCGTGCAGGCCTTTTTTGTTTCAGAGTCTCCATCGCACTTTTTTTTATCCCTCTTGCATTTATTACATGCGTTGGAACATATTTTTCCCCTCTTTTTTAAAAGCCTTTTTTGAGAAAGCTCAGGTTGATCTTCAACCCATGATAATAACCCATTCTCTGAATTTTCTTGTTGGTTTGTTAGAACCTGTTCCATTATTATAAACCAATGACTTGAAAAAAGATGGAAAAAGGAAAAAGTATAAAGAATTTCTTAAATCCTTTTCTCTCAAACGAGAAAAGAAAATTTGCACCTTTTAAAGTTTTTTTTTTTTTTTTTTGAAAGTCTTAATCATAAAAATTTTATTAATTTGGTTTTTTTTTTTTTTTTGTTTTTAAGTGCAAAAAAAACTAGTATAATTTTAACGTTTTTTTATACCTTTTTTTAAGAATATAAAATATACATATTTTCAAATTACAAATGTGATTATTTGCACACCATTATTACTAGGTTATCACTGCAATTTGTTTGTTTGTTTTGCGTTCTAAGCAGATTACAGTTATACAAAACATATCACTATGTGACATCTTTACAAATCACATCAAGTCTTATATCAAAAATATACAGTACGGGATAACATGAGATATATTCAATTAAAATTAAAATTCTTGCAATATATAAATTAAATCAAAAAAAAAAAAATTCCAGATTGACAATTTTTGTTTAATACCACTTTCTGAAAAAAAAATTATGAAAAAAAACTTTTCGTTTTTTTTTTTGCACTGTTATAAGGATCAAATATTGCCTATCTTACATGTAGATTGAAAATTTGGTGTTATTGATATTGTCATATGGATAAGCCAACAAAAATCAACCACCAATAAAAACTGCAGTGTGATTTTTACAAATCCTAAAGTTGGAATTAACATCCTTATATATGGAATATATGGGAGTGAACATTTTGTATTGTTCTTACCTTAATTTGGCCTATATGAATACGTAGTAAATATCTTATGCAAACTATATATACATATAGTGCATATAAATATATGAACTCATTGAAGTTTGTGTCTCATACAAACGTGGGTTACAAAAAGATGTGAATACATAAAATCAATGACGCTAATATGAATCTCAAACCATCGCTATCTCAACTCCGAAGTCTCCAATGATAAACATTTAATGCAATAAATATTCAAAATAAGAATTATCCAACTATATCGATATATTCGGAATGTCGTCTTACTAAATTTAGAATCACAAGAACAATTAAGAATCTATCGGGGGGTTTTTTTTTTATTGTTTAATATCAAATTAATTATAAACAGTAATTAATTTGGAACAACCAAATTTTTAATAAAATTTAAGTCAAAGTTTATAGGTTTTATGCATTAACTAAACCTTTATATTCCTGTTTTATAAAACAAACTAAAATAATTTATTATTTGTTTGTTTAATAAATACAGTGATTTTAAATTTTATTTTTTTAAAAAAATATAAGGAAGAAAAGGGTATTATGGTGAAGCTAAATATTTACAATCAATTATATGATACATTGATTGAATTCAAACGTTTTTTGGTATCTTCAGATTCATCTCATCGAACTGACCAAAAATCATTAGATTCTGATTACTGGAACACAAGAATATTTTCGATTTTTTTAAAAACAAGAAAATTTTAACCTTGAGAAGTATTATAGCGAATCGGAATACCTCGTCATCCCGTGAACTGAATCGGAATTTGCATCAGGGAATAACTACCGACACAGCAAAACACGTGCTTATCGACACAGCAAATGACCAGTACTAACCTTAACGACACAGCATGACCAACACTATAGTTAAGGTTAGTGTTAGAATATGGAGAAATTAGGGAATTAGATCACGTGTATGCTGTGTCGGTAGTTATTCCCTTTGCATCATCCGATCCCTCTCATTGTCAGATCACGGGATAACGAGATAACCCGATTCGCCATAATACCTCTTTATATGGGGTCTGTGCCTTGAAAATGACGTTGTGGAACATAGTAATTACTATGTCCCATAAAGTCATTTTCAAGGCACAGACCCCATATATCATGTTATATAGTTTAATATAAAGATGTGATCTGGTGACTCCGTGAACTCATACAAGGAGGTCCCCCCAGATTTCTGGGTCGGAATCATGATCGGAAGGTCTAATTTGTCCAAGATCACTAAAAGTTTTACTAATTAAGTCATAGCTCACTCATTACAGTTGTTTATCACTGCTGAATTGTCAAATATTCGGTTGGTCTATTGTCGCCTGATTTTCCAGATTTTATAAACAGCTGTAATTAGCGGAACAATTTGGACGGTCAAGTAAGAGTGCCCTCATGTCAAGGAAATCCTGAGCTGGCGACCAAAAAATATGGGTTCGTAGTATCTCAAAAATTCCTTATATATCTAACATTAAAGATTATGTCCTATGAATAAAATTTCATGCTAAAAACTTTTATTTAGAGGTCGGAAGTTAGTTGTCATAGTAAATTTATGTTTTTTTTTTACAATTTCTTATGGTTTTCACGTTTGTTTTGTTACACGATATCCTGTAATTTTATTGGATCCGGTTAGGATAGGATGTGATCTTCAGCGATCTTCAGCCCGGGAGTTCCTTGACATAAACCCGTCAAGTAAGCTTGTCATTGCAATGAAAAAAGATGCTATAGATCTTTGTTTTTTATCATTGAGTTGTGTTATTGGCTAAAATTTAAGATCAATATGAACCTTCAGAAAAATTGCTGCATGATCTCGTTTGCTAGCTAATCACATTGAGGGAGATGCTTAAGATTATCCTTAGTTGCGGGTAGAATTTCAACACAAACAGGACTAACAATCAACATGCGTAATTGGATTTAGGTACGGTTTTGCGGACACTAAGTAAAGCTGCCCAACTGATAATCTTGCCCAGAAATGGTTGAGTATTGCTAAATGCCAGCCGGAAATTTGGTGATCCTTCTGTAAAAATTGACTCCGTGATCCAAATTATGCGATTTTTGTATTATTGAATTTCCTTTTGATAGTTAATTTTGGATTATAAAGTTATAAAATAGTTATATTTTATATATAATACTATAGCTAAAGATATTATAATACTACAGTAGGTTTCATAAAAGCTATCATCTTTTAATTATAAAAATTTTTGAATTAATATGATGCCGGAAATTTGTACCTGACAATCACGTAACCACAACTTAGTAACTTTAAAAGGCATCAACTTTTATAGAAACAATATTTCGAAAAACTGACCGGTAACTTTGTAGAGCTTATCATAAAGAACAAGTTACCGGTCAGTTTTTCGAAATTTTGCTTCTATAAAAAGTTGATGCATTTTGAAGTTACTAAGTTTATTTTAAATTGAAACAACTTATATCAACATCTGATTGGCAGTGTAGATCGATCAAAGTTGTAAAAACGAATTTATAATCTTTGTTTGCTTCTAAAGCTCTATGATAGAAAAGATGTAGCTAAACATGAACTATTATGTTAAATAATTAGAAAAGATCACAAAACTGAAGTTATTTTTCTTAAATTGTCTTGAAAGCAAATTTCTTGCAAATTTTATGATTTATCTGTGATTAAGCTTTTATATTATATTGAATTTTAGTTTATATTATAGCATATTTGAAGTTACATTGACAATTTAAAGGATAATACAGTAAATGCTTAAAAGAAAATGGTTTTATATTTAGCATTTGTGTATTTATTTATATTTTTTTGATATTAAAAAAAATAATTTATTGATTAAACTTTTTTTTTATTGTTTATTAAAAATATATTATATTTATTATTATAAAATTGCACAAATTACAATATTATAGTAATTTAATCTGAATTTAACATTTATCATATTTTAATTAATATCTTTAAGTAAATAATAAATACTTATAATGCAAAAAATTAGTAGTTTATAATTATTTTATCTAATCTGATTGTAAAAAAATAAAAGCATCAATTAATTGTAAAAAACAAAAATTTATTATAGTAATTAGTTTTAACTATTACTTTTTTTAAATTATATTAATGTTTAGATAAATATTTAAGTTAAATCAAGACTAAAAACTATAATTAGTTGTAATTATTAGTTAATAATTTTTGCACTATTGTAACTAAAGTTGTATTTTTAAGCATCTTTAAAGTAGTTTTTAAAATTAGATTTTTTTATTATACAATAACAAGTAATTTTAAGCAAATGTAGTTTCGAGTATCTGAAATTATAACTTTAAACAAATAATAACTTTAAGCATCATAATATTATAATTATTATTATTATTTTTTTAAAGTTAAACTAGTTTTTTAGAATAAAGTTTTTTTATTTAGTATATAAAACATAGAAGCTTATGGTTTAATTACCTTAAAGAAGTTATTTTACATTAAAGAGTACATCTAGTTATATATATACTTTTAGTATCTAATTTAAGTAGTCTGTCTATATATAGATTCTATACTAGTTGTTATTCTGCAACCCAACTACAAATATTACCTATTTAAACTCTTTGTATTACAATTTTAACTATATTATTAGATCATCTCCAATATTAATATTAGTTAAAAAAGTTTAGATGCTTATCTATACTCTTAAAACACCTACCTTATTTTATATAGTTTATTCTTAAGACATTATTACTAGAGTCTTTTATATTTCAATTTATAGCTAACCTAATTTACAATCTCTGTGAAGTTTATACAACTTCAGTATTCTTCTTTTACAACCTTACTAATACCTTGTCTACTCTTGCAAGTCTTTCTATACTACTAATTTAGTTAGCTTTGTATAATATAACTTCATGTCCAAATCAACTGATAGTTAGGTTGGTGGACTCCTTATCTAAAGATTCTTGCCTGTACAGATTATCTGTTTCAGGTTTCTTTTTTTAGATCAAAATCTTTACAAGTAATATTATTAAAAGTCATGCTATCTCTTTATTCAGAATTTTTAAGTAGACTTTTTATCTAAGTATATACTTTTTAGATTTATTTATATAATATTGCATATTTTCAAAGTTAGTCTTGATATAATCAAAATTACAAAATCTACAAATTTCAAATCACAGATAAGTTTGCTAGAATAGAAATATTTTTCAAAATTCTGTTATTAATAAGATTTGAACACTGGATCTATTGCTTAGAAAATAATAATCTAATCACTACATTAGAATTATTATTCTTTTTGATATTATAATTATATATAATAATTAAAACTAATATATAAATATAAAAAGAATTATAAAAAAAAATATTCATATTTTTATTTAATTTACAAAATATTATATAAAATAATGCTATTTACTTCTACTTATATTGGCCTATTTGTTATTTAGTATTTAATTTAACCTAATTTTACAAATTTTCTATATATAGCAACAATATATTTAATAATAAAGTTGATAAACTAGCAACTAATTACAACTCTATAGTATACCTTGAACTAATATATAACAATATATATAATATTTTATATACTTTACAATATGGAAAATATATAATTAAACAATCTATCAGATAAGCTATTAAAAACATCTGTAATGTACAAATAGTTGCTATATAGTTATTACAACATCATATGAGCAACATCATTCTATTGTCATTACAAATTAATTAAAATGTAATAATACTAAAAGAACAAATAACTATACTAATTTACAATTTAACTAAAATAAATCTTTTAAAATTAAAACACTTCTTAACATTCTATTAACATTATACTATTTTTACAAATTATATTTAAACAGTTTTTAATATAACAACTACATTATTTATTAAACATTAAAACATTAACTATATTGGCTATTATACTCTAACCTAACAAATTTTATTTGCATTATCACAAAAACAATCTTTAAAACTATTAATAACTTAATATTAAATATTATATAACTACAATTACAACAACTATGCAATCTACTAATTTAGCATACTAGCTTATTACTTAACAATACTTATTGTGAACAAACTAATATACTGTATATAGAATATTACAAAAATATGTACCAATAGATCTAATTACAATAATCAATTCCTATATTATATTACTAAAAGATGTAACATTAATAACTATTAAGCTGCTTATTAAGATATTATAAAAAATATATAATTATACTTAGAAACTATATGCTACCAAGCTAGCACAATAGAAAAAAAACAATAATATTCAACTAAATTCAAATAGATTTACAACTTACTCAAGATCTCATAATTACTCTATCCAATATCATAACTTGCACTACACAGTTTGCTAACTGTATAGTTTATTTAATCAAATTTATATAGAAAATAACAACTACTTACTACTAGAAAAAGTATTAAAGTATTTTATAAAATTAACCTATATTCTAAATACTAAATACTATATAGCTACTTTACAAACAATATTTTATATTATCAAATCTAGATGAGTTTAATTATTCTAGTAGGTTTAGATTGCAGATAAAATCTGTTTATAGTCTGAGCTTCATTCTTGTAATATATTTGTAATTAGAATAAGTTTGTAATTTATATTCAAAGAAGCCTCTAGATTAATGATGCAAACATTTCTTAGAGTAGTTACTGTCCATGACATTATGGTTATGATGTGAAGGCTGTACTACCTTTATGTTATATTGTTATTATGCCATATATGGTAGTAAGATAGTATGCCATAAATGTGTAATAGGTGTAGTATGCCATGATTGAAGTTGTATGTCATGACTGGTGTTGTGCATCATAACTGATGTTGTGTGCTGTAACTGGTATTGTGTGCTGTGACTGATGTTGTGTGCTATAATTGTTGTTATATACTATAATTTATGTTGTATACTGTAATTCATTATGATTTAAAAGGCATTTTTCTTTTACAGATTATACACATTATAATTTCTATATATCTATTCTAATTGCATTTCTATACTGTACTACTTTACTATTTACTGATTTAAATTGCAATGCATAAGCAACATATGTACGCTCAATGCATATTCTGAATCCCAAAGATCCAGTTTGTGGTTAACTTATAAGAAACAATATAACATAATTTATTGGATCATTTACTGTAAACAATCACTGAAATCATAATATAGTCAACATTATATAACCTTTTTATGACAAAATATAATAATAACAGATAAGAAAAAACTTCTGAATTTTAACATATGTTTAAATAAAATAGTTTCTAATAAATGACTTTTTTTTTTTTAGAATATTTAAACTTGTTGACAATGAATAATCTAAGTTAATGCTTAAGATAGATTAAAGTTTGGTTCTAGAAATATTTCTGAGTTGGTTAGTATAAAAGGGTTTGCTTTATATCAATATATTTACTGTATATGAATTTTATTCAATTTTTTCTTAAGCCAAAATTAAATATAATTTTCATAAGCTTATTTCACTTTTTTATCTTTATGTTATTCTTCAAAAATCTCTTGAATAGTAGTATACCAGGAAGTATTATATTAATTGTACTGTTTAAAATTAAAAAGAAACAATTTAACATGCTAATTTTTTTAATTTTGACTAATTGTCAATATTCATTTTTGTAAATTACACAACTGACATTATTTATAATAAAATCTTGGTTCATATAGATTATATATAGCTTTTATATCTTACCTTCAATGCTTGCAAATTATAAGCTTAACATCTTGCTTATATGCATTAAAGATAAACTTAAGTAGTTTAATTATATGATTTATAAACTAAGTTATTTATAAATTACCACATATTTCTAATAAATAGTATGTATTGTATAATCTTAAACTACTTTCAATGCTTTAAGAAATTTGCTCCACTAACACTATTAGGCCATGCAAAATTAATTAATTGGTTTTTGTAACCTGCTAGGTCAAATTTTGAAAATTTTTATAAAAAATTTTATATATATATAAATTTAAAAAAAAAAAGCTGGCTGGCCAGGTCTATTTAAAAAGTTTCATGTTACGAGAACCAATAAATTAAATTTGCATGGCCTTAGTTGTAAAATGTTAATATCTGAAATTGAGAAAGCTTGAATATTTGAATTTCACAGATATTTTTATACTTATTATTTTAAACATTGCAATTTAATAATTGTCTTAGAAGTAGGATTTATTTAAGCTATAGCATTTATTTAATATTTATTATTTAATTGCACATACAAATTATTTTATCTATTTTGCTTTTTATGTTCTAAAAAACTATTTAATACATCAGAAGAATCATAATCAAAATTCTCAGATAAAACAACTTGGGCTGTTTCTGCTATAGGAAATTCCGAATTTTCTTCAATTTCTAAGTTAATAATTTCATTAATTAATAAGGTTGTAAATTTATTAGATATATCTGAAGTCTTATTATCAATGCTTATTTGTTCCTTCTCATAACTCATAATATTACCAATTGAAGATATATAACATGCATCTTGAAGATTAGCTTCTGTTAATTCTTAATTGGAAAAGTTTAGCTCACATTGGATATTTGTCATATAATATGACCTAATTTTAGACATTTTCTTTAGCCTGTTTATGCTCAAATTAGTGCAACAATCTCCTAAAATCTACTTTAATAATGAAAAGTTCCTCTTGTAGCTAGTTTGTGTAGGATTAATTGAAAAATTCTATAGGCTAACTCAGCTAAATGTCAAGGTTGATTTTTAAAAAACCCCTCCAAATTTTTGGAGTGTATATGTCCAAAACATAAGGAAAATCAAATGATAGTAATTGTGACTCAAACAGTTGCATTTGCACAATTAATTTTTCACTTTCTAATTGGGTGTGCCCAAGACTTTGCCAGAGCTCAAGAGATGTAAGGACCATTTTATGAAACCCATAGTCTTTTAAACCTTTTTTTAAAAATAAATTATATATAAAATAGAATACTTAGTTTTATTATTATATATTATAATATAAAAAATATATATACATAGTATAAAAATATAGTGATCTACAAACTTGTTTGCTTAATATATAATTGTACATATCTCTATACTATAGATGAATATAATATGCCAAAATATAAAGTAGATGTAAAAATTCATCATACTGTTAATTAAAAATATAAATTGTAGAGAATTTAAATATATTTATTTCAGACAAGCATTTAATAGCAACAGCTAATTTGATTAGATATGTGAAACAATTAGCTAATGTTGCTTCATTAGTTTCTAATACATAGATTACTTCTTTTATAGGTTGCCAAACAGAACATACTAATCGATATATAATAAAAAAATCTTGATTAGCTATTAAATTAGCTATTTCTTGATTTGTAATTGCCTCATTATGCTTGGAAAGTAACTAAAAATAATTTATTTTTATTAATATATTATATAATAATTATAAAATTATTATGAACTCTTTCTGACGATCATTCAAACCAAACTTTCAAAAAGCCGAACTACAAAAAAACAATATAGTTAATATATTAAACCTTATAAAAACTTTTCCAGAGTATTGTACACACATAGTTGAACATTGAAATAGAGTTGAAAAAGAAGTTGCAGCTTTGTGGTAATAGTTTAAATGCACTTTGGGACTATAGAAGAAGTAGTTGATAAAAGCCAAAATTTTTTTATAAAGTAAACAACAAAGTTGGATATATTAGTTCTATACAACTATAAAACGAACAAGAAACACCTATAAAGGTCAAAAACTTACAAAAGCTACAAAGTTAATTTACCTCTCACCTTTACTTTGCTTTGAAGAAATTTTGTAAAAATGAGCAATTTAGCTTACCTCTTCCTAAAGATTGACACATAAAACTACTAAAACAGTCAGCAGTGTTTACTTCCTAAATGGGTTTGTTGATGATGTAGATCAAAACAAGACAGTAATACAAACATGACTATACATGTGCCTCGAAATACTAAAAAAATCTGAAAATACTGCCTCCAGACTAACTAGTGCTCTACACCAACCCTCTACAATCAAGTCAAAGATTTTTTCTTTTTTACATGGTTTTTTATTAAATAATCTAAGTAAATAGAAAAATAATAGAGTTATTTCTATTTAGTATAGTTTATAATATTTAAAGGCCCAACATAGGCATACAATTGTGACCATCTGATATTTGTGAATTGCAAGTTTCACACATTTCCTTTTTTCTTGTTTATTCTCTTTTTTTTTTTATTTCTTGATTTGTATCTTTTATTGTTTACCTCTATACTTCTGTTTTGTTTTTTACATAAAAAATTCCTTTTTTTGTTTTTTGCTTTCCTATGAAAAGATGTCATCAAATTGGTGATGTCCTATTGTAGGGTGGCAGTCTATCTCTAACTGGGATAGTGCAGCAGGTCATACTTAGGTACCATTTGGGTAACTAGGTAATGCTAGACTTATATATTAGAAAAATTCTATGTAATCTGTATAGTTTCAAGAATTCTAATAAAGTACTAGTATGACTGCTAAAGTTAAAAAAAAAAAAAAAAAAATTATAAAATTATTTAATAATTATACTTACCCAATCAAATACAGGCTGTACAAGTAAACAAATATCAAATTGCAACTAGGTATACATAGAATATATAACTAAATAAATAAGAATAACTCACAACAAATAACAACAACAAAGATACTAAAGATTAAAAAAAGTAGAAAAAGTGCCTTTTGCACTCTCATTCTCTTTACAACACTGTTGCTGACTATATTAGCAACTAAAGTAAACAATGATAACAATAAAAAAAATAATAAAACACATGTGGCTGAAACTCAAAGGAAAAAAACATGATCTGCTTATATATATACTGATAGCAGTAATACAATAAACAAACAAAGTAAAAAAAAAAAGTGAAAAACTAACTATAATACTACTATTTCAGTTCAAACAAATACAAGAAAAAATGCAGTAGAAGAAAATTCTAAAGAAAAAGGAAATTTCAGCTTAACTCTGAATTCTCAAGACATAACATCATTAGTAGAGATGAAAACAATAACAAATCTAATTCCAAACTCATACTGACCAATAGAAAAAAATATTCCCACAGATTCACAAAATTGCCAGAGCCTGATTTAAGCCTCCATTACAACTAACACAAATCTTCCTATACAAGAACAAAATATAAATGTAAACAAACTAATTCAGTCAGAACTAGCTCCCAGACCTAGTACATATATGAATGATGATACAAACAAACAAATACCAGATATGAAAGTAGACCAAGACACAGCAAACATAGATGACAAAAAAGAAGAAACACATTCAACAGACACAATAGTAGAGGAACAAATACAAAAAAATATATCATATAGCCAGGCAGTTACTAAAAGTATTCCAAAAAGAAATAAAAAAACTTCAAATAACTTTAATAGTAATAAAGAAAAAGAATAGTGCAAGCATGCACAGTCAGCATTAAAAGAAATTAGACAAGATAGACTAGAGATGTTTGACATGACAATCTGAACTTGACCAAAAATCAAAGCTGCACTAACCTTTTATAATGAAATCAAAGAATTAGTTAGATATAAACTTATTACTAAACCAATAACAAATTATATTCCAAAAGCAATAGCAGCAAAATTGTTTTATAAAATATAGCATTTTTTAGAAGCTTTATGAGAATTACTGCAATCAGATCACAACATCAAACAGAAATAATAATTTGTTTACAGAAGCCTTAGATATCTATAAAAAACAATACAACATACTAGCAACAAACAAGAAAAATCGAGACCAAATCTTCAAACTACTACAAATTAAACTAGCAACAGATTACTTGTCTAACCTAGACTTCAACTCAATGGATGCATAGAAGATTATAAGATATATCTTTTACTTAATAGGATTTACAAAAATCTTATAGCAACTAAATTTTGAAACAACTAGAAAATTGGTTTCAAGTCTTATTAATGAGATGCTAATACTACTATCTCCAGAACCTATTTCAATTCCTAGTTATTTAATGAAAGCAATTCCTTTCAGTTTACCTATCACAAATTATCAAATTATTGCACCCATAGCCAAGACTTTACAATTAATGTTTTCATTTGACAAAATACCTGAAACATATATTGCAGATAATCGGGAACCTCTATCAGACTCATACGAACTCTTAAATAATGAAGTATGCAACATATTTCCTATTATAAGCAGAGCAAACTTGCAAAACCTGGCTTAATACAGAGAAACCCTGCAGAAATTTTACATCTTTCGACAAATTCCTTCTAGCTACTTTGAGTTACCAGCACCAAAGGCCCATTACCTTTCACTTCACAAGACTTAACTCCCAAACTAAAAGAAAATTTTTTTTTCTTACCTAAGAACCAAGAAGATTTTAAAGAACATGTTAAACTTTTGCGAATAGTTTACTCATTTACAAGACTACCAAATGACTACATTATTTTATGCAAATAATTGCCTCAAACCCTACAGACTTAAGAATAACAAACCTTATGTTCCCTCTACAAACTGCAGAAGAAGTTAACTTATTCTTGAAAAAAATTTCATACATATACAGCATCCCAACACTATTACCAAAAATTTATTGTAATTTTAACTACACAGAACTTCCAGACCTACCAGAAGATGCCAAATTAGTTACAGCAGTAAACTTAATCTTATCAATCTCAACTCCCAAAGAGCTAAGCATTGCAGCCAAAGCATTACATAAACACTACTACTTTTATACAATACCCCAATCTTGAATAAATATCCAAAAAAAACAACCTGAATTTAGTGACACTTCAGATAAATTACCTTCTACAATCAAAAACTGCAACTTGAATTAGTTGAAAAAAAATCAACAATATAAATATACTTATTAAAAAACATTACAATATTCTCTTAGTTTTGGAAACTCTTCAACAAAACTTTTTTTATCACACTGTGTCAGAGTACATATTTGATCTCATAGATCTACCTGAACTATCATTCGACATCTTTAAAAACAAAAACTCAACTAACACAATACCAAAGACACAAACATCTGCAATAGAGGAAGACCCTATGACAAAAGACTTATGAACATACATCCTAATACAAATACTTTACAATCTGTAGAATATATGAATGAATTAAATCTTCATGACTTTAATATATATGAAAAAATTAACATTACTACTCACAACATCAGAGGCATCAATGAAATATTAAAAATGCAAACCTGGATTGAACACTATGTTGAATCAAATTTATACATAATCTCTCTCACAAAAACCAAACTAAAAGATTCAATGATATTGTCATTAACTAACCCTCTATACAAAATCTTTACTTTAAACTTTGTATTATACAAACCAAATCAACACAAAGCTAGTCTAGAAATGGCCTTAATAGTTTGCAACCAACTACAACCATATATTTACAAAATTAACACCTTTTAAGGAACAGCTATATGTCTTGATTTCTTTTTTTCTAATGACAACAAATCCCATATTATTTCAACTTACCTCCTTTTAAATCATCCTTCCTTTCTAAAAAAGACCCAATCTCAATTACTTAACTGGATTACAGAAGCTAAAGCTAGAAACTGGCATCTAATTATACTGGGTGATTTTAATGCTAATCAATTTAGAGACAAGTATTTTCTGATATTTACAAATTTAAATGCTGCCAACCTAACAAGTTTATTAGCCTTTTATAACATCCAATCACCAACATGGCATGACCAACTTCTGCCAGCCAAATTGATGATTTCTGAATCTCATCAGATATATTATTAGCATTTAAATCTCCATTTTTAACTAATGCTTCTTATATTTCAGCCAGTGATTATTGCATTCTAAGCACAACCTGGTATACAAACTTTTTACCTCAAAAAAACTCTAGAAACAAAAAAAAAAAAGAAAAATATATCTGTTTGAGAAAATGACATCTGATGACT